AATTTTAATCCTTCGTGGTATGAATTAAACTTAAATAAAATTTGATCTATATCGTCTAGTGGAGCCATAATCAATGACAGATTGAAATCATTTTTTTTATAATTATCATTTTCGTTAATATTTTGTTGTACCATATATGAATAATATGTCGGAAACATTCAAAGTTATAGCAAAAGAAATTTGATTTAAAAATTGCATACAAATCGATTATAATAATAAATTAAACAAGATAATTAAAACGGTTAAAGACAGACTGAAAAGGGACGAAGTATCTGATGTGGTGTATAAGATTAATTGTGCTAATTGCAATGTTTCTTAAGTTGGACAGACTAAAAGACAACTTAACACGCGAATAAAAGAACATATTGCTAATATAAAAAAGCCTGGTAATTTCTCAACACCAATTAGAAATGAATCATAAATTTGATTGGACTAATGTTAACATTTTGGATTGTGAACAGTCATATTATAAAAGAATAATTTCTGAAATGATATATATAAAGAGACAGAAAGAGGATATCAATAAACAAGGTGACACTGTTGGTTTCCGGAGATTTTTCTTTTTATTATCAACAAATGTTCCCTCTCGAATCATATCTCCTTCTCCGAATAACTTTGTCTCCTTCCGAACAATACACATATTATAAAAGAATTTTATCTAGCTCCGTCTACTTATCGCTGTTAAGAAGAAGGTTCTCTTTCCATGATCCAAATTGTCATAATTTTGTGAGATCACACGATTGTTGCGTTTGCAAATATAGGTATGTTATTTTAACTTTTACCACGGTTTCTTTTTTATTGTACATTAGAATTTATATACTATCTGTCTGTTAATAGCTTTGGAAAGTTTTATTTATGCAGCACACAACGTTTTCAAGAATTTGAGATCTTCTTCCTACAATAATTTTTGGAATAAAAAATATAAAATCAGGACGAATCAAAATTATATTCCTTTGAAGAGTATAGAACGAGACATAGTTTATAATAAGCGACTAAGACAATTTTTTAATATTTTATTGTATCAAATCAATTAAAATTAATAAGATTATTTCACGAGATATATTTTGTAATGGTAAAAATTGATATCAGGTAGATAATTACTGATGATGGTCAAAAATAGTGACCGAAACGTTTAATATTTATACTTTAGTGTAATCTAATAAATTGACTTACGCGCAAATATTATCTGGCGTTGTAGCTGTATGCTTTATTTTGTTTGTATTTAAGTAAGTATTCTTTTCTATTGTTTTCTGTTTGGATGCGATAACTCATTTAGTTTCTCCTGGTACTTTTTATTTATGTAGGTATTGTTTATTTCTAACTGCTGCTGTATCTTTCCGTCTCAGCAAAAGAAACTGAACGGGTAATTGTATCTACCATTTCTATCTATTGGTAAACAGAAAACAATAGAAAAGAATAATCACTTAAATGCTTCAACAAAGACTTCACAATTTTATGTGATTGCTTTTATTACCGTATGAAACGCTATCTAACCCAGCACTGACCAAGCATAATACGTGAAACAAGATCACAGCGAAGTTTTAAGACTGATTTACGAAGTGCCGTGCCTCAGCAATGTCAAAACTTTAAATTTTCCTCTGTGATAAAATTAATTGTTGATATATTACGAATATTATGATATATGACCCTTGAAATTCTTGAAAAACACTGGTGCGACGCAATGCGCGTAACCGAGTAGTCGGATGTACTCTTTGTCCTGTCTTTCTGAAATTATATCTCGAAAACGGCTGGACCTCCCAGAATACGGCTTCTCTCTCTCTCGTTAGGATTAAAGTCGTTATATAATAAAGCTTTTAAAAACAAAAATCGGTACTCCCGATTATGACGCGATTTTAAAGATTTCAAACACTTGAACAGGAATAATAATGAAAAGTTACTCAAAATTGGACATCATCACGTGAAAGAGCAGACTTTTTCTGTAGGAAACGACACTAATTCCATTTTACTAATTCCACTTTCCATCCGAAAGAAATCTAGAAAGATATATGAACAATGATAAATCGCAAAATTTCTTCTTTTTGCAGCTACGAACTAATTAACGGGACTAAAAGTCTAAGACTTTGCACAACAGATTGCATCCTCAAACCCAAAATCTCTGTCTCTTCCCATGCAAAATCATGGTCAAATTGTAATCTGTGTTTAGTTAAAACTAAGTGGTTAGGTGTTTTCCAACGAATATGATTCTTATATTCAGAAATTCCAGTTTTCAGTTATCTGTCTATTTGGCCAACATAAGAGACATCACAATTTTTGCATAAGATTTCATAAACAACATTGTTCTTGAATATATGTGGACAAGGATCTTTATGAACCTTAATAAATATATATTTATTTAGTTTATTAGTACTGTAAAACGACCCTCATATCTTGATTATTAAATTGAGTGAACTTTTCTGAAATATAGGAAATATATGGCATTGTAAACCATGATGGTTGCTTAGTAGTAATCTACGAAGATTTAGAGGTCTGTCTGTTTAATAAATATTTCAAACAATTGTGAATAGTACGAAAAATAAAATCTAATTAATAGTTATTATGAAGCAAAATATTAATCATAAGCGTAAAGTTTTTTGCTTGAAATTTAGGATGTAAAAGAAAAAACGTTCGATCAAATAAGTCTGTTATATAAGTATGATAATACCTCGTTTCTATGTGCGTTTGTGCGTTTGTGCGCGCGCGCGCGTGTGTGAGAGAGAGAGAGAGAGAGAGAGAGAGAGAGAGAGAGAGAGAGAGAGAGAGAGTGAGTGAGTGAGTGAGTGAGTGAGTGAGAGAGTAATGAGACCAAATATTGAGGTATCTACCCGAAAAAGTGGATTTATGCCAATCGAATTTAATGATATTGTTGTTGTTAATAAACCTAATGTTCAAAAAATTTAATTTTTTTTCTCCAATCTCCATTGTAAACTGGATTCTAGGATGGAAAAAATTAATTGCAAAAAGAACTAAGTGAAGACTAATTTTTTACATTGTATTTATCTGATTATATTCTTGTATGTTTACATAATTGTATGTTGGTGAGTTAATTTATTTTTATTAATACTCTTACTACTCAATATCGTTTTACCATTTTGACTCATTTTTTAGGTCTTTTTCACTCGGTTAATCAACCGCTTGCAAACGATACATTGATCTTGTACAGAAACAGCATATCTACACTTATTTGACTATATTTTTATCGCATTTATTTATTATATGATCTGAAGAGGACTAGAGCCGAAACATGTTGTCATTGTAAATTATTTACATATAAAAAACCAAACTCAGAGCTAATGAGAGTCGCACATGACATAATGTTCATTTTAAGGCTGAGCGATATTAACTTTAACTCAAGATATTATGCACAATTGTTAGGCGGCGTTGTAATTTGGTTTCCAATTCATTTTTAAATTATATTTATAAATATTATATTGTTTTTATCAGTTTCTAATTTAATTATATGTGTAAATTTTACAATGAATTGATTGTTAATTACTACATAGTTTTAAGCATAAAGTTAAGATGACACATTTTAAATCTTGACTATATATTTTAGATCTACGCTTTTGACGCTTTAACTCTGGTGTTGAATTATGTTTTAAACATTTGTAATAATTTTCTGTTCTTATATGTATTATATCCATGACATAACATGATAGATATTAAATATGCTAGGCAGATCATATAGGTTAAAATCAGCAACGCAATAAGTATGTACTGTCTAGCTAATTAATTTTTATCGTGACTTATTGTTGCCGTCGTTCTGACCTTCGTTAATAAAGTTTTGTCAGACACATTCATCGCTCCAGATGAATTGAACGGAGTTTAAACAAAGTATATAAAATGTATTACAGAATGTGTTTAATTGTAAAAATAAAAACATTATCCAAGGTTTCATGATAAGATTTGACGATCGTATGTGAGTTACTCGTTTACATTGGTTGTTCTTTCAATATCTTATTATATACTCGTATGAATTTAAACAGATAACACTTCAGTTTTAGCAACCTGTGAATGACTCTACATTGAACGTTCGCAAAATCTAATATTGTTCAAGAAGTTTGCTGATGAAGATTCAAAAGAGAATCGAAACGTACAAATTTTCAAAATTTTGAATAAAGATGAGGTCATCACATCGGATGGATTAACAAAATTACTTGTGTAAGATTTATTGAACACCTCAGTTCGCGCTGACTCTCATTAGCCTTGAATTTGGTTGTTTTTTGTTTGTTTGATAAGAGAGAGTCCTTGTTCAACATTGTATTTATTTTTTATTTATATACATATATTTAGATTATATGTTATTTAATTAACTGTATGTATAATTTCTTTGCACATCGATACCCGCGTCTGAATCCTATATGTCTAATTATTTTTATGATCACAACAAAAATTACATCAAATTACGAAATTACATTTTATTTTTTAAAATTATAGAATTGTACTTTTCTACTGAATATATTTTATGAATAATATCTGGGTTTTTAAATTAAAAAAAAAACATAAAATTCTTCACATTAGTTAAAAATTATAAAATATTGAAAATTCAATGAAAGATCAGATTTTGATGAAACTACTATTTTTATGCGATTTTCAGCATGTTCCCATCAGATCAGTTTAAAATAAATGTTTACAAATGATTCAGAACATACAAAAATATGAGAAAATATACAAAGGAAGGCTTCATCGTTTAAGCTAAAGTCCGGTAATTTTATTTATTCTTCTTTAGTCTCCAAATGTTTCCTTGTTAACATCTTGAAAATAATTTTCTTTTCTTTTCTTATCGAAGAGTTTCGTATCAATTAAATAGCTGAACTCTATATTAATTAGATACATCTGACAATAAATTATGAAACAGGAAACAAAGGTGTAATAATATTATTACTCAAATGCAAAGAGTATTTTATGTTTATTTTTATTTAATTACATCATTTATATATAATTATGATCTACACAATAATCTATATAAAAATGCAAATTAGTTACATAGCTTCTTAAAATGTTGCGTTTATAAGTTTATTATTAATCTGCACGTATGTCTCACAGTTTCGCCTGCAATTATACAAAAATTTAGATAATACTATTATATAATAAATCGTTTATTATTGACTGTCATATCTGTTATATTTCTCTTTATATTTATCGCTTTTTGTTGCACTAACCTGAATATGAAGGGCAAGTACTCCTTCCGGCTCATTTGATAGAATCTCAATCAAAGCGGTACTATCGTTACCAACTTGCACCGATTTTCCGCTGCACTTGCTACGGCCGTTGATGGCTTCTCCAGTTATAACATCGCAATATGTTCCTGCAGGCAATCCGGTTTGCAACTTTTTAAGTAGATTATTGCCTTCAACGTTAAAGGCAACGAAACCTTTGGCACCGCGGGAGAAAGCGATCTGATTCTTCCCATTGCTCCACCAATTCTGTATCTTTTCGCCGTTTACCAGATTACGAAATTGGACCATGCGATAAATCTGCGGCCATCTGTGTTCGCAGACCCAACCGTTGATGCACTCACCATTGACGATTTTAGGCGAAATGATGCTGCCATATGAATCTGCTGGTGGTCCTTGACTGGGATCAGTAAAGGCGAAGGAACTCATGATTCGAGGATAACCATAGGGATGGGCAAGCATAAAGGCTACTGCCATCTGTATAGATAATAAAAAGTAGAGAAAAATTGAAAGAGAAAGAGGGAGAGAGAGAGAATATCCTCTAATATAGCAATTAAATCTTATATTTACGATATATGGTTCATTAAAGTATAAAAAACACCTTGTACGGTTTCGGATCCTTATGTGTCAAAATAGTAGCTCCACCGGCACCTCTCTGATTATCATGATTGTCAATCATAATTAAAGCGTCGCCGGAAGGTATTAATTTCCAAGTGTCTGTGTCATTGAAAGTTTCAAGTCTCGTCAAACTGTCTTGACCACGGAACATTTTACCCAAGATGATACCATACAAAAATTCGATGACATTTGCAAAGTCATTGTACTCAAACTTATTGACGGCCTCACCACCGAGATCGATGACTTCTTGATAGATGTAACACTCTGCATTTCGCGGAAATCCATTCTTAGGAGATAATTTTTTTATTTCTTTGTAAATAACATTAAGATCATTTGGCCACATGTGTTTGGCGGCATCAATGCTGCAAAAAAAAGGTAAAATATTATAAAATATTATCAAAATGATAAAATACCATAGATATATCAATGATAATACAGTAATACAAAACAAAATTTAATATTTGATCCAGAGATTAGACCATGATATTATACATAAGTATGTACTTTTTAACGCTCTGAAATCTGATGTCCAAATTGCTCCATCACGTCACCATTTTTTTACTAATGAAAAATAGCTCGATTTTTTAATATTTTAAAAACTATTTTTAATACGCAAGCTGAGATAAAAAGAGAGAAAGTTCAATGGTAATATGCAAGTTTATAAAGTTAATACGCGAGCTTACAGGTTAAAAATACTGAAGAATTGAGGGAAAATGAGTTATTTTCTGTCGATAAAAAAAATTTGGACATTGAATTTGGTTTCAAAGCATCAAAATACATAAAACTATTATGGACTAATTTCTGGATCTAAAAACTTTTTTGTATGCCTATGTAATTGAATTATTTTACTATATACAGAATCTCTCTATTTTTTAATAAAATGCGCAAATTATGCCATTAATTTTTAATATTTCTATTTATGATATAAAGAAAATCCATATTATAACATGATTAATTAATTAATTAATTACTTAATTCTACCACTACAAACACAATTAAATTCTACCCATCGTATAAAGTTGCACCGAGAAACGCGAAATCTATGCATTTTGCTATTCTTGCTGCAAATGTCTTATTATAAATGACCGCTAATTCCACATATCTTTTATTTAGCATGTGGCATGCAGGCGGGATCGGTAGCTAACACGACTCCGGTCAGAGGTTCAACATCCCAAACAGTTATTTCCGCGCCGAATTATGAGCGTCGGCAACAAGTTGGCTCGTTAATTAATTAACGCTATTCGGTCAATTAAGATTTTTACCGTTTGATTGTAGATACCTCCAACTCCATTGAATTTAATCGCACATTCACGGTAATCATCTCTGCATTTGCCAAAGGCACTTGCAATGCAACACACGGTGGCTGACGCACCGCGAAGATCAGAGTTCATTGCAACCCACGGAAAATGATGCGACTAGGTAGCGTTATTTATTTCCATTTATTCATTCCGTAATTTACTTGTGGATAACACGCGACAGGGAAAATTATTTTATTTATCAGCTCTGTTGTGGACTCTGTATTAATTGACCGGCTTATTTAGGACACTCGGATTATCATTACATATCTATAATTACTTTTATCGCGGATAAAATTTTATTAACTTTGCTATCATAAAACAAAGTTACTACTATGATTATGAAAAATACACGTAACTTCATTAAAGAAATGAAAAGAGAGATATATATACATATAGAATTCTCATTAAGAAACAAGATTATGACTTTCTTGTTTCTACTGCAATACTATTTTAAATAATGTTATTAAATAATGATAATGAAAAATTATCATATGTGCATTCACGATAATTACATCGTGTCAATTTCGACATATTTATAAACTCGTGCGAGCGAAATGTTGTATATAAAAAAAAGAATTTTGTTGTCCCAGCAAAATTATTGCATTGCTATATATGAAAGAAAAAAACTTTGTTATCGTAAATTGCTCGATATTAATACCTATTTGTTTCGTTGATAAAATCTTTTATTAGAAAAATCTTACTAAGTAAATTTAATAATTTTAGAACACGCGAGATTGCTACTAAAAAAAATAATTCTGCAGAAGTTTTGTTAATTATTATATGGACAACAAAAACATTTGTGATAAGCTAAGAATAATTTAGTGCAATGTGATTTATAATATGCTATAATAACCAGAGAAAATTAATTCTTTCTTTATTAAGGCCGTGACGATTTCGTTGCAACATTTCCTTTAAAATCGTTCTGCTTTAGTAGCAATCTCGCGTGTTCTAAAATTATTAAATTTACTTAGCAAGATTTTTCTAACAAAAGATTTAATCAACAAAACAAATAGGTATTAATATCGAGCAATTTACGATAACAAAGTTTTTTTTCTTTCATATATTTCAATGCAATGCAATAATTTTGCTGGGACAAAAAAATTCTTTTTTTATATACGACATTTCGCTCGCACGAATTTATAAATATGTCGAAATTAACATGATGAAATTATCGTGAATGCACATACAATAATTTTACATTATTTGCAATATTTCCTTTAAGATCGTTCTGCTAATAATCGTTAGTAATAATCTCGGGTGTTCTAAAATTATTAAATTTATTTAGCAAGGTTTTTTATTCTGCAGAACGGCAGAATACGATTGTATACATATATTGTGCAATATACTATATTGCGCCATCAAATTTCCTTATATATTTTCCGTGAGCGTACTGTGACTTTAGCATACTTTTGTGGTTGTCACAATTTCTTAATATACGTCATCAATGTCACATTTTTTTACTCGAAATATACGCAAAACATTCGCGATCCGCAGACGTGATGCGTATATAAGCGCAGTCCCCAGAACGGCAGCGCGCCCCGTTATCATTCCCGACGCGTATATCGCTCTTCCGCTTGTAAAGCCACTGGTTTGGTACGAGATGGTACGATTTCGCTGCGGGTTACAATTACGAGCGAGGCGCGTAATTAAAAGCTGATGTCCCTCATTTATTAATGCTACCAGACGAGCCAGCCTCTGTCAGTATCGCGCGGCACCGCTCGTCCGGTTTAATGTTAAACATCATCAGTCTTCGGTGCATCCTTGATGTAAGAAAGAGAACGAGAAAGAGAGAAAGAGACGAGAGGGAGGCTATATAGAGTGCATCTCGCGGGTTTACACTTCGGATTTTATATCTCATTCGTATATTTTGCGTGGAATGCACATCGACTGTGCGTTGATGTTGTACGCAGACAAAGATTATCGGTGAAACGCGATCGCTTGTTGTAAATGATTTAATTTTTTGTATTTTTTTGCTCAATTAAGTTCAATAGTAGAAATTATGAACGGCACAGAAGAGAATTCGTTCTCAATATCCCAAATAATGCTGCAATTAATCCTTAACTTTTTTAACATTAAACTTTTAATATGTTCTAAGAATTTTGATTTTGCATAAACAAAAATAATCTCTGTCTTTATTTCCTTATATATTTTATATAAAAAGTATCATACGGTAAGAATAAATTAGTTGAAAATAATTACCGTATGCCAGCGACTCCAAAATCGATGAGTTTGTTAAGAAATTGAACTATTTTCTTTCGGACGTTCAATTTGCTCTGATTAAGGTCGTGAAGACCAGACAGCTCACAGTTGCGAACTTCAGTAGCGTTGTTATAATTCTGAATAGTACATGTTGGATGGTTGAAGTCCTTAGAACTATACGGAACTCCTGGATAACGAAGCTTATTTGGTTGTGCTGATGTATGACCGGTGCCGTACGCGGGTTGTGCATTTGTTGTCATGTGATTGATAACCGCATCGACGTATATTCGCACACCAGCCTTGTTACATCTTTGCACCATATTACTAAATTCGGATTTGTTTCCGGATCGACTGATAATTTTATAAGAAATCGGCTGATATCTTTCGAACCATGGTCTGCCGTTTATCACAAGATTCTCATTTATGGGAGAAACCTATGAAAATACAAGAAACTATTTAGCATTATATTTTTTATATGTAACGCATTTAGTGCTATGCAGAACTGACTCTACTTGCACTTTGTATATTGTTAGTTTGCATAATGTTTGTATAATTCTATAAATTTGCAGGAACAAAATTGACAAATTTATTCTTTAATATAATAACAAAATATTATAAATATATGCATTATGTGATAGTTTTTCTTTTTCTATCCTGTAATGCAGTACCGTAATTGACTCCAATTGCTTTATGACAGAGTTAGATAAGTTAGTTTTTTCTTAAATCGAGTTAAATTAAAGATAATGGGTTATAAAATTAACTCAGTTACATTAAAAGTAATATAAATCAATAACTAACTTACGATTAATTAAAAGTTAAGTTAGAGTTAACTTAAATTAAATTAAGAATTAATTTTAAAAAGTATTATTCAATTCAGTTAAAATAATTATAAATAATAATATCATATTATAACAATATTATTCAAACTAAAGAAATTATATTATAATACTACACTGAGAAAAAAATGCTGTTGATTCAATTAAAGTCTATATTACGAGCTGTCACTACATAAATAATATTAATTCATGTATATTTTTTTGACATAAAGGCCTTATTATTGAAATAATAATTTATGCCTTTTTTTATGTCAATAAAAATATACATGAACTAATCTCTCACTTATGTTAGTGACAGCCCGTAATATAGACTTTAATTGAATCAACAGCATTTTTTTCTCAGTGTATATACAAGCGTTACTTATTATACTATACAAGCGTATTATACGTACTTGTACACCACCGTAGCCCATCGGACCGAGAAAGTTTTCACATTCTTTGGCAATGTCACTGAATTTCCATTCGAATAAGTGAACCATGGAAGTTCTATTACCGACATAATGCGGATTTTTATGGGCAATTGCAAAAACCAACAAAGATATGAAACCAAGGCTAAAAAGAGGCATCATGCTGTCAAGCTTGAAAACTGACAATAATTGTTTAAGTTTTTCCGATATGATTAGACAATTTATAGAAAACTTGCCTCATTGATACGCAATGATTAATGAAGTTATCAGAAAAATAGGACAATACTTATGATAAGTGTCACTAATATTAATAGAGCAAACTGATAATCGTTATATGTATTATATACTTCATTTGTCATTCTTTCTGAAGCACTGACATTAATTGCTGATATTCAAGATGATTTCATCGCATGTGGCAGTTTTATTATGGTTCAAAATATATGGCTACGGAAATAATTACATAATAGACTGTAAATAAACTGTACATGCGAATTATTGAGAAATTATTGAGAAATTGGAAACAAACAGGACTTATGGAACAAGTTACATAAGTTTCCTTTTGTATATAGCCTTTTGTATATAGGGTACCCCAAAATTTGCGATTTAAAATACCACAGCAAAAAATACTAAAAAAATAAGTTAAATAAATATTTGTTATTATCCGGAGCTGTACTTGTTTTGAGACTAAAGATTAAAAATTGCATTACGGTTAAACGACTGTCTATTTGTAAATTAATGCTCGTGCGACGCGAGTATTAGTACATCTTTCACACATTCACAGACATTAATCATATGAATATATATGTAACGTGGTCGACGTAATACTGTGTGTTACGTGTAATATTTGTTATGAATTACTTTACGCTGTCAATAAACGTTAATAAATTTAAAAATAATGTAAATTTATAATTTATCGAATTATATTATACTGTATTATTACATAAACAATTCTGTTATTTAAACAATTACATATTGATTTTTATCGATCACATTATTTATTTTTATTTTTTAAATTGCCATTTAATAATAAGGATAACTGTATTGACAATATTATAACAACAACAACAACAATAATAATAATAATAATAATAATAATAATAACTGTAATAATATACCACCTGAAATATACCACATTTAATTATATTAGTAAAAAATTGCTTACAGATCAATTTTTATTTTTTATTTTATTGGCTTTACTGAACAATGATTGAGTATTACTTTTTCTTTATTATCTTTGTCGTAATTTACATCTTAAATAAGTGTACCCTAGTAGCACAAATTATTGGCGCAATATTGGGAAATGAATGTACAGCCAATATTAAAACATTGGATAACCAATATTGGTCCAATATTGTAAAGTAGACGCCTAGTCGTATCTAGCTAATATTGGTTCAACAATATTGGACCAATATTGTTTCAACAATATTGGACCAATATTAGGGATTCAATTTTTACCCAATGTTTAACATTGGCTATACATTATTTTTCCAATATTTCGCCAATATTGGGCAAAAATTTAATCTCCAATATTGGTCCAATATTGTAAAGTAGACGCCTAGTCATATTTAGTCAATATTGGGGATTTAATTCTTACCCAAAGTTTTACATTGGCTATACATGGTTTTTCAATATTCGCTAATATTCCTGAAATAATGTATAATCAATATTAGAAATAATTGAGTGAAAATTCAATTAACCTACGGGATTCGAATCTGGGACCTTTGGACTATGAGCCTTCTGCGTTATGTGCTGCACCATTTCATCGATTAATAAATGTGTTACTTAATTGTACATATATGATATAAACAATCTATCCACAATATATATCCAATAATAAAGAAAAATAAATAAATAAATAATAAATAAATAACAAATAAAGACAATATTAGGTAATGATTTATTATATAGCCAATATTGTGTAACGACTGTTATGTAATATTGGTTATACATTGGCATCTATTATATAGCCAATATTGGCATTGCATTGGGAAATATTGGCCAATGTATCGCCAATGTAGAGCCAATATTGGATAATGATTGATAAGCAATATTGGCTGTACATTGATATTTATTTTATAGCTAATATTGTGTAACGACTGTTATGTAATATTGGTTATACATTGGGATCTATTATATAGCCAATATTGGCATTGCATTGGGAAATATTGGCCAATGTATCGCCAATGTAGAGCTAATATTGGATAATGATTGATAAGCAATATTGGCTGTACATTGACATTTATTTTATAGCCAATATTGTGTAACGACTGATATGTAATATTGGTTATATATTGGCATCTATTATATAGCCAATATTGGCATTGCATTGGGAAATATTGGCCAATATATCGCCAATGTAGAGCCAATATTGGATAATAATTGATAAGCAATATTGGCTGTACATTGACATTTATTTTATAGCCAATATTGTGTAACGACTGATATGTAATATTGGCTATACATTGGCATCTATTATATAGCCAATATTGACATTACGTTGGGAAATATTGGCCAATGTATCGCCAATGTATAGAAAATATTGGATAATAATTAATATGCAATACTGGCGATACATTGATATTTGTTATATAGCCAATATTGGCATTACATTGGGAAATCTTGGCCAATGTATCCCCAATATAACCAATATTTAGCCAATCTTAGCCAATGTATAGTCAATGTTCTGTGCTACTAGGGTATAGATGATTTTTGTATTTATATATAGCACAAGCTGTTTTAAATATCAAATTAAAAATCCAGTGTAAAATGATTGTTATGTTTTCAAAATAAAAATTGAATATAATATTTTTCTTGTTGCTCTTGCGATTGGTATTTCGGTATATAATAAAATCTTTTTAAAAGGCCGTTAACGCCGACGGAACAACCTCGATGGCAGATGGCACGATTGATAGATCGGTACGGACTAAATCTCGCGATATCTTACGTCATAAACGTAGCCAGGATGCTGGAAGGATAATTATTTGTGATGCGCCTGCCATCTGACGCTCGTAACGAGTCGAGTCGATCGTGGGGGGAGAACAAGGTCGACAGAGGTACGGGTGCGAAATGTCATGATAATATTCATCGATCTCTTTGGCGCGTAACACCTTTCGCTATTTATTTGGGATGATTTGTCTGCGATTCATCACCGCGTTGACCGCTCAGCATTTCCCGCACGGGATATGGTAGAGCGAATGGAATAACGTAATCCAGGTGTTGAACGTGCGCAAGATCTGTATTTACATAGAAACATTAAAAACTATCAACGTCAAAGTAAAACGCACACACTACCTTTAATATAATACTACCTTTTGTATTTCTAGAATTGAATTACCTTTTCCTACAATCTGATTACGTCTATTATGATTTCCTGTAGACGCTTCAAGTCATGAGATAAAATGAAGAACTTCACTTTTGACGTCATATTTTTCTTTATTTATAGTTGGACTGATTTGGCTACGGCATATCACAGTAAATAGATCGAACTTTTAGGTAGAGTTATACCGATCGCCAGCGAATTAACGGTTTGAACTTTATACAATTCTATACGTGAGTGTCTGTCTTTCTTCTTTTCTGTTATAGTTTCATCTTCAAACGGAAGAAATGCAGTACGCTTTTTATATAAACTATGCGTTCAGGAGGAGGGATATGTATAAAATCAGACGTGTAAAAATTACTTAATTATGTTGTAAAGAAAACTTAAACTTCTAGAGTTACCACGATGTTATCTATATTAAATTGAAAAATTCATTCTTGTGTATTTCCTCTCAAAATAAGATGGAAGACTAACGGATACTAGTATAATATTGAATATTGATTAAAATACGCAGTAGCCAGACGAATAATAGCAGAACAGCAAATTGCTAAAGAAATCATTGAATTAACACGTTTACTATCACTATGTTTTCATTTTATTTTTGGAACATTTCGCCAGGAACATTTCGTCATAATTTTCTTAAAAAGTGATTTTAGTGAGGCGAGTTGTATAAAACTTTCGGCGCTTATATTTTAAGCGCTTAAAAATAGAGACACAAGCGCAAATCAAAGACGCGCCTGCGCGTCGGTGACAGTGAACATGTTAATTAGTTTCAATTGAAGCTATTTTAAATGAGAAGAAAAAATCTCAGTATGATATTTTATGCCATACTTTATCCATTTATGTTTAGCTCGATCGCATTATCGATTAACATTGTGATAAGGAGTTCGCGCCATTTAGGCTGCTCAACGATATATATATATATATATATATTTTTTGTACATACATCTTACGTATAAAACAATAGAAATGTCGTTGCACACAACAAACAACGGTACATAGACAAGTAAATATATTCACATTTATGAACATATCTTTGATATATCTACGCAAATAAGCTGCACATGCGACAGTAATAAAAACATTACCAGAGGTGACAGCTGCGTTTTAGTTTTACGCTCAGTTGTTTTTGACGTTTTGATCTATGCGTTAAGCTCTGTTTAAAAATTAAACTGCTTCTGTGTAATCTCTACCGGACTGATATCTAACGTTACTAAGAGCGCGCGTACGTATCTAAACTTTAGTGCATGTTTTTTATTTATAACGGACTGAAGTGTAACATATAACTTATTTTGTAGCTGCATGCATCAATTATTATAGTTAAAAACTACGGCAATAATATTCGTTTCAGCGAAATTTATCTGGCGAGTATTCAGACTTCTGTTGCTACTTGAACCATAGCTTCGCTGAGATTTTTGGTTTTCTGATAATTGACGGTGCAACTGAACGAAGAATACATATGTCTAGTATCGAGTGTAATAATATCCAGGGAAGCATTCATGACAAAATATCGGCTCTTTAGTCATCTATTACTGTCAAATAACTATTATCCAGAAACATATAGAATATATATTACATGTCTCTCTTGGCTATAATATAAGATCTATTTTTAACAAGCGTATATAGTATCTCTCTGAAATTGTTACTATAACCACATTACGTCTCGTAGCGAAAAGTTCATTCGATATATAAGTCAATTTTTTTGACAATGCAGTTTCGTTGATTAATAATGGAAATAGTTCAATGGTAAGAAGTAAAGATGGTAAAAAGTATTATGAAGTTTACGGCAAACATATAATTTATGAAAAATTAGAAACTACAAAAAATAGTAGTTGCAGAAGATAAATTATGTGGGGTA